TCCCACATTTAATGTGAATACTTCATAAGAGCCACATTAGAGAATAGTGGTTGAGAAAAACGAGTCAAATTATTTTCAGTAGAAGAAAAAAGTTCCCGACAACGGCCAGACTTTTTCTTTGCAAGGCAACATCAGTTGGTTTCTTGCAGACATGATCTTTTCCAGGTTTTAGGTGTTATGTCTTTTAAAAATTGAACTTTTTCTTAATCAACCGCCCCTTAAAATGATCTGCAAAGAGTGGGAAATTAGATTTTCGATTAAAACCTTATCCCATCTCGAAGGATTACTTTATATTGATTCTTAAATATGGCTACAATTGATGGGTTCTAATTAAAAATCCAAAGGAAAAGTCTGTCGTGCCCATATAAAAGAAGCTTTTCATATACGGGAAATAAAGCTTGTAAAAGGTTACAAATAAAAGATTAGAGATTTATCCAAACTAGTTTAAAGCTTCACTGTGGTTTTCTTTTCTTCTTTTTTTCCTTCCTTACAAAACCGTTCCTGGGTCTTTTTTCCTCCAGTTTTAAATGAAGTTTGCAAACAGGCAAGATATTGGACTGTAATGGTTGTTTTATATCAACTCTGTAAGCTCAAGGCTGCTGCCTGCAGTAGAATTGATTTCAAGGAAACTTCAGGACCAGGAGATGAAAATTATGTAAACTGACAGCTACCACCCTTCATCAATCCATCCACATTCCCATCCCCACTCTCCCAACACACACACACACACACACACACACACACACACACACACACACACACACACACACACACACACACACACACACACACACACACACACACACACACACACTCTTCTCTCCATCTCTCATACTCACACATGCCCTTCCTCCCCTTACCCTAGCCTTGCTCTGCACACACCCTTGTCCCCATACTCTCAGGGATAGACACATAGCTCCCAGCTCACTCAGCTCATAAATGTCTCACAGCCCCACATCTCGCACTTGTCACACAATCTTAATCCGTTTCATTCCGGAACAACATGGTCCTCTTTTCCTCTTTTTCGCATTTGGAGTTTGCCTCCTACTCTTTTATCGAGACAGCACAATCCTATCTTTGAAGTTGTTTCTTTCTCCCTTACCCTCTTTTCTGAGGCGACCGCAATGTGGGGAATGAGGAACCCAAGCTTAATTCATAAGTGATCTGTTGCCTTATATTTTCCCCCAAATTCTGTCTGTATTGCCAATCTTAAATCCTAGTTTAAAAAAATTAATTAAAGTTAATCTTGGGCAAATTTGTAATACAGACATATCTAAAAACCTAATGAAAAATGACTTCTTTCTAAATATTGTGGTGGCTCTAAAGCAAAATGTGGTCCCCCACTGTCCACTGAATCACTGAAAAGATTGAAAATTAATCTTCATATTTCTGAACTGAGTGTTCAGGGAGTCTCACTGGCTCCTTTCACCCGGAGAGGCTGTGTTCTCACGGAATATGGGTTTTGTTCTTCTTTCTTAATTAGCCTGGAAGAATCCAGAGATCTCTCCCTCCACTCCCCTCCCCCTCATTTGCTTCCCCCCCCACCATAGTTAATAAACTTGAAGGAAAGTTTGGAATATTTTAAACTGGCCTGGCATGTGAATTGGAGAAAGTAAGCCCAGTTAGTGCCAGACGTGAATCTAGATTTGAAAATATGATTATTAGCTGTATTCTGGAAATTGCATGCAAGCTCTGACAAATAATTTGAGTCTCTGTGTATTGGTTTTCTTAATTTAGCTTCTGAATACTTACATCTTATAGCACAGCAAGATAATTGTACATGCGGCAATTAAAAACCACTCACTTGTTAATAAAAATTATTTAAAAACACAAAGTATGCTACCATAAATTAGATTCATAGAAAAAGAATTTTAAAGACACAGGACACACACAAAAAGTTAAATACAGATAGAGGAAATATAACAAACAGATAATAATCATATTAGAAGTTCAAGAACTTACTAAAAATCAAGAGGTCTTTTTCTCCCAGCAAGCATCTAAGGTTCTCAGCAAAACACCCCAACCCCCTCCCCCCAAAGCCAGTGGCTTTTGTCCTGACCTAGAATAGGGTTTGTGGGACTGTACCTGAGCCAGGCTGTCTGCAATTTCCAAACTGACAAGAAGAAACTAGAAGATAAAGAGCATGTTCTTACAGGTGAAGAGCAATTTTGCAACTTTTCCAGGCGACACCCAGGAGAAAGCTTGCCTGCTACCAACTGCTGCAGAGTCTGGGCAGAATTCCTCTAGAAAGAAAAAGAAAGTCTTTTTTCCCCCCATCTGCATCTCTCTTTCTCTAGTTCTCTTTCTGCTCTCTGTCTCTCTCTCTCTCAGATCCAATCTTTTAAGAGCTTCAGCACATTGCTAAGCTAAAGGGAAATTCTCTTTGATAAAGCGGTGTTTCCAGCTTCTGGGTTTTAAAACCTAAATCTATATTCAAATCTGGCTGAAGGTGTGTTCTGGGATTTATGAAAGCCTCTTAAAGGGGTAAATTTACCAAACCGTGACAAAATCATCACAATCTTACTTTAGACATCTGAAGTGGATGAGAATTTTAAAGAGATCCTTGCTTATTTAACACTGTCCATTTCCAACTCGTAGTTTATTGGCCCCGTATTTCTGCGAAGTTATTAGACCAGAGGCCAAAGGAGAAGCGGGAGTTTGCCGCAGGCCTCCAGAAGGGGAAAAGCCCTCCACGCCCCACCGCTCAGAAATCTGCCCCTGTCGAATGGGGACGTTTTCCGGGAGATTCAACGCCCCCCGCCCCCCACAATGTGGGAGGACATCGCAAACCTCTACATCGGGCTTGAGGGCTTTCCCACGACACTGGACCCTACAGCCGATGTATCGCCCGGTGCAAAATTGTTCACTTATTTCGTGAAGATCACAGGCCCGCGCCCTGTTATTTCTCCACCCCACTCCACCCCCCACACACTGTTCTCAGGGCCTCCCTCCGGCCCTTCCCCTCCGCCAGACCCACAACGTCTATTTCTCTTTTTCGCTCTTTGATGCTTTAAACATCATTGTGATCAAACTGGGGGAAACACTGTCTTTTCTCGGGGTAGGAAGGAGACCCCGCTTCGGAGCACTGGGGTGGATTTGGCTTCTTTCATGGAAAGCATCGTGACTCTGACCAGGCGCACCCGACCAGTGCCTCCGACGCGGGCCAGACCGCCTGGGGTCACTTGTTCTCCCCTCCCCCCATACCCCCCAAATTAAAGGCTCGGGGGAGGTCGCCAGGTGTTTCTGTGCAGTGGGGGTGGGGTGAGAAAAAAAAGGTCCGTACTCACCCTCCCCCCAGCCCAGGCCCCCAGAAAGTCCTGACTCCTGGGAACGCGACAGCCAGGGGTTCTCCTCGGACTGGCGCTGCTGCGGAGGGCCCGGGAAGAGCTGGGCGGGCCCTGGGCCGCTCCGGGACTCGTGGGGCCGCCGGGGCCCAAAGCTCTAGAGACACATGCGAGGGGGCCTGGGCGGCCGAGTGCGCAGCCCCGGGCCGAGACCGAGCCGGAGCCCAGCCCGGCTGCCGAGAGCTTGCTGCCTTGTGCGCACTCCCGTAATTCGTTAATTGCTGTAAATCCCAAGGACGGCCACATTTGATTACACATACAGTATAAGAATCGACAACAAAGCGACGAATTAATTACCAACTTCATTAACATAGGTCCCCAAATTAAAGGCAGCGAGCTGTTTCTTTGGGCCCACTTGTCGCGGTGGTGGGGTGGGGGTGGGGGGTAGGAAGGGATTGTATTTTCTTTCCCTGCACTGGAGTTGTGAGGGGAGAGCTGTCTGCTGCTCCCGCCACCCTCACCCCCACCTCCATTCACACACACTCGGCAGTTCCACTTGCCACCCCCCACACACATACTCCGCCCAATCTGTTTCTGCTTTTCTAGGGACTCAGATCCGTTTTGAAAGCTGTCCGGTCCCCTCTCTCTGTGCCTGGAGGAAAAGTGGGGCTGGGGTTCGCTGTCTCCGGCTCGGGTCCCTGGTCCCGACGCTTCCCAGCCTCCAGGCTCTCAGCCTTGGGCTCGGGCGGCGCCAGCCCAGTTAGCTCCAGGCCTCGCCGCGTTGGGCGGTTTGGTGGCGTTTGTCCTAACGCAGAAACTCTGTTTCCAACGGGGGCCTCCCCCGTCCGCCCCCGATATCTTGTCAACCGCACATTCGCATCCGCGAGGCCTGACCTGGCCCCAGCTGCTTCCCCCAAACCGGCCCTGGGATTAGCTTCGAGGGTTCGTGTTGTTTGCAGCCAGCCCTGGGCTGCTCAACTCCAAAAACCCTGCGCGGATACCGGGAGCCTGGGTGTCCTGCTTGCAGATCAGGGGATATTCATAAGGGCGTAAAGAGTAGACACTGAGTTTTTAAAAATAGTTTGTTCTTGGACTTGTGTATCTCTCTCTCTATCCCCTACATGTCCACACCTCACTCCCAGGCCTCCTTCCTTGACCCTGTCCGGGTCCCAGCGTGGTCTGGCCCTGTTTGAGACGGCACAGTCCTGTTTTTAAGCTTCAGCCTGACTTGCTTTCTGCCTGTGATCTACACACTTATGCTAGGTTGAATGCCATAGCCCAGTTACCCCCCAACCACAGCCCTCTCCAGCCTTCACTTAAATATCTTTCCATCTTACATTGTATGGGTTTTCTTTCTCCCTTTTCCTAAAAATAAAAACAAAAAAGAGAGAGGGAAAGGAAAGAGTAAAGGAAGAAGAGGAAAAGAAGGTAAGGACAGGCTTCCCTGTCTATCATTTTAATTAAACAATTAGTTCACATGCTCCGGTCCATAATGTGTATTTTAAGTGGAGCCCAGTGTCTTTCAAGAACATTCTGGTAATGTTGGAGGCCTGGATTTGTTGCCTGCTCGTCCCCCCGTGCAGCAGCGGCCTGTTTTCCTCCCCCTGTTGTGTGTTTTTATTATTTTCCCTCTGGCTTAGATGTGTCAATCATTCTCTCCCTGCCATTGGTTGGAGAGTTTGCGTCAAAAAGTTGCCAGAGAGGCGCTTTCTCAGCAAATCTCCCTGAGAGCGGAACCGACCTCAGCTCCAACTCAGCCTCCACTGTTATTAAAAATAAAAATCGCTAGAGCAGCCCTCAGTCACCACGTCTACCTTGTATGTATTGCAGAGGGGCCCACACGTGTTTCGAACTCTAGCCACTTTCCTCGTTTTCTGTTCTTTAAAAACATTTTTTTTTTGGTCGCGTTTGACTTCTGATGGAAGGGTGAAGACTGCAAGGTTTCTAACGCAATACTCTTGATTTCTTTTAGGATAGCTGGCTATTTGGAATTTTGAAGGATAATTTGTTTTTGGTTTTTTTTCTGACTTCGCATGCGGCTGTAAGGTAAGTGTCCGTCTGTCCTGTCCATCTATATCCCTATCTGTGTGTCCCTCTGTCTGTCTACCATCACCCCAGTACTTCCAAATGGACCGGCCGATGCACCTCTGCCAACGTGGAGTTCTTCCGAATGCTGATGTATATTTTTCTTTTACAAATTGTGAGGTGTAATAACGATCATTGTGAAAAATGTACGATCTGGAGAGGAGGGCGGGAGTGGGCGGGAGGAAGAGCGAGTCCTCCTGGGGGTCGCGCCGCTTCTGGAAAACGTCGTCGAAACCCTGCGAGGCCAATCGGGCGTGTTTTTGAGAGGTTTTGTTTGTGGTTTTGTTTTTATGTCAACGCCGTTCGGGGCTTCTCCTTGCGATCTTTGCGTTTGGTCCCCAGATTTGGTTGGGGTTGTTTGGATTGATCCCCGGGACGTTTCTAGAGTCGGAGACAAAAAGATGCAGATGTAGCCAGATGGGTAGATTAAAACAATAATGAAAGGTAGGCGCCTCCTTGGGCCCGCGCGCCGGAAGGCCGGCTGGCTGGTGGCTCGGCGGGGGCCGGAGGAAACCCGAGCGGATAACCGAGGAGGCGGGCAGCGCGGGCGTCTCCTCCGGCCAAGAGGAGCTCTGTCCTCGACCTTTTCCAAAGGCCTCCAGGTCTCCTTTTTCTTTTTAATCCCCCCACCCCCACCCCCCACCACCAAAAAAACACAAAAAACCTGGGAGTGCAATTACCAGCACCCTCCACGGTTGTCGCGATCCCAGACCCGGGTCACTAGACCGAGTGAGCGTAGAAGAGTCGTTTTTTCCATGTGACTGCCGTGGATGGTTCGGGGACCGCCCCATGCAGCCCTCCGCGCGCACCTGGGGCGGGCAGATGTGGCGGCGAGTGGCCCCCGTTCCTCCCGAGGCCGCGGCTGAGCCAGGGACAGGAATCCTTTCTCTGAGGACAGCGGCCCCTTATCTGTTGTCGGCCTGGGGCAGCCGAGGGGCACCCTCTCACACTCCCTTCCCAGGATCGGGGACACTGAGGTGTCCTGGCTCGGGGCCGGGCTGGGGTCGAGGGGTGCTCCGAGGCTCGGCCTCTGCTGTCGGCCTGTGCAGTGAGAACCATCGGAAGTTCTCTGCCAGCACCGGGCCTGGGCGACGGGTCGCGCCGCCAACTCTGGAGTCTGCGTGTTGATGCGTTCAAGTGACTACTGCAATCCTGCGTCCGATTTCAGGACACGGGTTTTGAAACCCAAGTTTCTCAGCAGAACCCTCCGAGGTGGCTTCCTGCAGACAGAAGCGGCGTGCGGGGAGAGCAGGCCGAGCTGCGTGGACCCTGCAGTGCTGGATTACTTGGGGAGGGGACGGGGAAGTGGCTCCTGGAAATTGTCCCCTCTGTCCTAGAGCTTCGGGGGTCAGGATTTCTCCTGCTCACCTCGGGACTTTTTCCAGTCACAAAAACTTAGCAGCACAAGAGAGGACTCGGGGAGGAAACTCCTCCCCTAGAGTAAGGTAGATAGCCGGACAGCTCCGCACAGAGCTAACACCGGGGCTTTCTCCTAGCGATAATTAATAGTCACGGCCAACCCTTTTGGCACGTTCCTGCGTCCCTCCCTCGCGGGTGGCAGAGTCGTTTGATTCCCCGAGGCCCGAAACTTTCCCTGGAGTTCTCCGGAGAGGCGGGCGCCGGCCGCGCTCCGCGGAGCCCACACGGCTTTTCCTTTCTTGACTCCTCCTCTGCGCGCTCTGCCCAGCCGCGGGCCGGTCGCCAGTGCGCGACTTTGTTTCCTTTCCATCATGCAGAAAATTAATCAGGCCGGACGAGAAGCAGAGCTGAGCACGGCGGCCTGTAATTAAGGGACGTGTGCCCCTCGGATTATCTCGTTAGTTTATCAAGAAAACATTTATTATAATTAATTCTCGGACGAGGTAATTATTGTTGAGCGAGAACACAGCAACTGGTAGATGGGCTCCTTGGAAAAAAAAAAAAAAAAAGAAAGAAAACAAGGGGGGGGAGGGGGGAAGCGACAGATTGCACGAAGTGACCGTTAGATATAAGGCTGCGCGGCCCGACGCGGGCAGTGGAGCGGCACCTCGGGCGCCGGGGCTGCGGGGCTGCCGGGCGGGGACGCCGGACCGAGCCACTCGCGCCCGGAGGTGCGCGCGCCGACCGGCCGCGGGGACACGCCGCGCCACCTTCGTCCGCCGCTAGGTAGGAGATCTGCAGAGGCCCCCTCTTAAGGAGCCGTGTTGAGGCTTCTATTTTGGGGAAAGGTATTTCTTTTTCCCCCTCTGGACTCGGCTTCGAGAGCAAAGGAGAAAAGCGTCCTTTCAGGGCTTTGAAAGTTAGATGAAGGGCCGGCCCATGGTCCCTTCTTCAGGGAGTGCATACCTAGGCTGGCTGTGGAGAGCACCCGTGGTTTTGTTTTCGTTTTTGCTCTGTTTCTTTTAAAGTGGATGCAACAGTAAAAGTGAAAATAGCCTGTCCTGAGAATTTTAGGCATTTTGTGATGGTAAAGGCAAAGGAGCTCCAAGAAGGGTCCTGGTCCTGGTGCTTTCTGTCTGTTACTTCTTTTTATGTTGGAATATGCAACTTTATTGTATGATGTGTCAAGCATTTCTAATTGGGTGAGAGCTCGACATGTAAGAACACTTCCATATTTCTCATGTGTACATCTGATATGATTTTAGATTTCTCTATAGCAGTTCGGAACTTTCCAAAGTAGTAAGACTGTATTAAGCAAAAAAAAAAAAGAACTCCAGCTTAGAGGCTATTTAAACAAATAAATAACAGTATTTTAAAGCTGTATCATTTTGACAGCCACTAAATAACTGCATCTTGAAAAGAATAGAAAAGAATACAAAATATGAACTCTTTGTTGTAAGAGCAATTTAAATTAGTTTTACTGTTGAGTAATACTAACTCCTCCAAGAAGGACATTTATAAAATTACATTAAATTAGATTTTAGGGTGGAAAAGCATGACTTTTGTGCTCTGAATTTAAATCAGAAAGAAGTTTCAGTTACCGAGTTCCATTTGTGGAACTTGGTGCCTTGATGTCTTAAGCAATGTACATATGAAAACTCAGAGTCCTCAAAACTCAGTAAGACCTTTGAAAAAGTAGGAGAGAACTAATCTTGTATCCGCCATTTTGAAGCAATCTCTTATAGTGTCAAAGTTTCAAAGTAGAGATCCTTGCAGGATAAGTGCCACACTTTAGGAAAATAAAAGCCAAGACTTGCAAACTGCCAGCCTGTATTAATGTCTATTTTGGATCTCTTTGCTGGGGAGGATGGGGGGAGGAACTCAGCTGAAGCGAGTAAATAACTTTTCTTTTTCTTCCTTTCTTTCCCTCCCCGAGCTCTTTTTCTTATAGGATTGTAGGAAACTTGAAAGGTAGGGAGAAATTCTATCAGTTTCACAACTCTGGGTGTTTGTGTATCTACTTTCTTCAAAACTAAAATGTGCAAAAGGCAGTTAGAGTTAACAGGAAACTCTGCTGCAGCTGCTGAGGACCCAAATGTCTGAAAATTTGCCTCCGCAGGATCTGCAGCCTCCACACATCAAAATCAACATGGGAGCGGCTTGCACTACAAATGCGCACCCTTTCTACTTGCAAATGTGGAGTCCTGTCATTATCTGATTGGTGGGATTCTAACTTTACTTCAGAATTTCTGGCAAGCCCTGTGCCAATCTTGAAGACGTTTTCTGCGATACGTTTAAATATTTGATGGGTGTCTATTAAAAGTTAAATACTTGTTTGTTTAGCTTTAGTTCCTTAAACACATATGATCAAGGTTCTTCAAAACCCTAATAAATCTGTTACTTACCTAGAAATCTAATTACCCAGACTACTAATTAGGTGAAAATGATTACTGGAAATGACTTTAAATGTGGAATAGTAGTCTTTGAGCAGTTTTCCCAAGTTTGTTGTTTAGTAAGTTGGTATTTTAGATGTTAAATGCACTGACATTTTAGGTTTCCAGTAGTTGAAAGTGGTAAAAAGCTAAGATAATTAAAATCTCTGCCGTGGAAAGGCAACAGTCTGGGGAGAGGTAGATTTCTTGAATTGTTTCTTTGTTTCTCACCAATGGGCTTTGTTATCAGCATTATTTATTTAGCCAAAGAGTTCTTTGTCTCTGCAAATGGCCCCAATCAAGTTTTGTTTGAGACAATTAGCTAGTGCCAGCCAATGAGTCCTATGCAAATGTAGGGATAGGAATGCAATGTGTGCATTTGAAGGCATGGGGTTTTGTTCTTGGGGAAGGCAGATTGTAATTGCTTTCTTCGGGTACTTTTTTTTTTTTTTAAGTTCAGGGTGGGGGTGGGGAAGACAGGTTTATCTGGTCTCCCTCCACCCCCCTAGTTCCAGAGCAGCTGGGGGTGGGGGGGTCTGCAAGTCTTTAAAAGCCTCTGCCTTGCCTAGCCCGGCTCTTTTTAAGTTAGTGGTGGAACGTGGAAGAGCTGCTGCCTCCGAAGCAGTAAACCAGTGCCTCTGCTTGTTTGTTTGCTTTGCCCTTAGTTCCACCACTCCAAACCCACCCACCAAGGACACTGAACCTGTCCACTCCGGGAGAATCGAAACCTTCTGGCTGGGTTCCCCCGATTTGGGCCGACTTTGCGCCTCCAAACAACCTTAGCATGATGTCTTATCTTAAGCAACCGCCTTACGCAGTCAATGGGCTGAGTCTGACCACTTCGGGTATGGACTTGCTGCACCCCTCCGTGGGCTACCCGGGTAAGTGAGCCCTGCGGCATTCCCCCTTCACCCTTCTCCACTCCCGCCCCTCGGGGACTTGACACTCTTTTCCCTCCGAGCACCAAGCACGGGGTCGACGGTCACGCTGGCCTCACTCCAGCTCTAGGCGAGGTCCCCACTGGGTTTTCCTTCCAAAGAAGCAGCTCAAAGCCACCAGGCATTTATTGACGGAGGAGAGAACAGGGGTTGGGACGAAATGAGTGGTTGGGTCTGCAACAGTTGAAGAAAATCACATCGCTGTATGCTTAATTCGAATGAATAGGGGACACGCATTGGAGTGGGGTGAGAAAGGTTACTGCCCTTGTCACTTGAGCGAGAGGCTCCTACACAATCTCGATGTCCAGTTCCTCGGAAGTGCCTTCTTGGAGAAGCTGGGTTTTCTCTCCATAAATCCTTAACGTCCTGGTCTTTGCAGTTGTCCCCACCAAGCTGGGGCCTTCCCCTCTGACCTCTAGGCCCTGCGCCTTTAATCCCGGGAGCTCTGACTTTCCCCAGGTGCAGGTGCTTTCTTTTGCGATCAGATCTGGTTTCTTAAAAAAATCTTTGTAGAAGTGCGAGGGTACTTCAAAAAGTTCATGAAAAAAATTGAATGAAAAGATAAGATGAATCTTTCCACGCACTTCCTGAAGACCCCTATGAACAATGTCCCATTTTAAAGATGGAGGAACAAAGGCCTTTGGAGTGCTAAAAACCACGGGAGCAAAATCGAGATTCCCCACGTCAATCCAAGCCGCCTGTCCTCGGAGGTCCTTTGACTTCACTGATGACTTTTTTGTTCTTGTTGTGTTTGGGAGATACTTTGGAGGATTTTGGGTTTTGTCTTCCTTTTATTTTGTTTGTTTTGTTAACTTTCCAAGTGACGCTCTGGTTGGAGGGATATCCGACGTGAGGCAGAGTGGGAGATATACTCTGGAAGGGGCAGTGTGTGTCAGGGGACCCGGGGGAGTCAAGGCCGGGGAAGGGGTAGGGAGAGCATTGGTAGGCTCTGAGTTGAAGGGCTGGGAGCAACGGGGGAGTGCTGCGGGGCGGAGGATGGGTAGTCAGAAGATCCGCGGAAACCCCTATGACTGAGAAACTGCTCCCCCACCCTAAAGGGCCCTGGGCTTCTTGTCCCGCAGCCACCCCCCGGAAACAGCGTCGGGAGAGGACGACGTTCACTCGGGCGCAGCTAGACGTTCTGGAAGCGCTGTTTGCCAAGACCCGGTACCCAGACATCTTCATGCGGGAGGAGGTAGCGCTGAAAATCAACTTGCCCGAGTCCAGGGTGCAGGTAGGGCAGATGTAGACCGAGCCACCTTCCTGACTGTGCCAACCCTCCCCCAATCGTGGTGTATGTTGAGAACCCAGGAGAGCTAAAGGAAGGCTTGAAACTCATTCTAGACGCTCATTCGGGGCCTGTAAATTATTCTTCTTGCACCATTTTCTGCCTCCCCATCCCCACCTAATCCTATAAGCAACGGTCTTCTGGTAAGACCCTCCACACTGCAAGGTAAGAGTGGTAATTTAGCTGCAGTGTAAAGCAAAGTCCTAGAACACTTGTTTTGTTGGTAGACAGATCCAGCCTTGGGCAGGTTTCAAGAGTAGTCAGATGGAATTTTTAACCCTTCCCTTCCCCATGTGGAAATCCTCCCTTTTTTCATGGACTTTTTAGGGGCTGAAAGCACCTTAGTTCCTGGACAGTCCAAATACTTTTACAGATGAAGAAAGAGAGTAAATGACTTGCTCAAGGTCATACCTAAGTTTGGTGGCAGAGCCAGGCTATATAGAAGCAGCTGGTGCTTTTACCAAATAAGTCAACACAATAAGAGTGTGTTTTCTTTGACTTCTTAGGGATTAAATAGAATTTGCTAGCTCTGGGCCATTTAAGAGATAAAGTGTCTACATAATATTCCTAGTGACAACTGCCCCCTTGCTTTAGTCTCCCTAAACTTGACCCTAAGCTGGAGAGAAAAAGTCAACACCAACTTGCCTGGAGAGCAAGCCCCTTACTCAGTTGTCTGGATCACATACACACATGGGATTCTCCTTCAGCTAGGACGTTTGTGAAAGTGCCAGACATCAGTGTGAATGGCAAAGAGTGTGAATCAGGAAAGAGGCTTTTTCAAAGTGGGTTGGAAGACATTTTAGCACACATGAGGCTTGAGCCAGAGTCCTCACTAGAAGAAAATAAATGGCTCTGGATGGTTGGTGGTGTTGAGCTTGGCCTTGGAAGCACCAATTTTACCACAATTACTACACCCACACAGAAAGCCTATTCAAGAAGACAACTAAGGACTATATCCTAGAAAATGCCAATAGTTTCTCTGATAAGCCCCCTCACATACCAAACACAGTCCCTTCACTGGAGAACAAACAGGGCTGGTAAAGAGAATTTTCAAAGTTGCAGGCAGAGGATTAGGTTGACAAGCCGGTGAACATAGTACAGGCAACTGAATCTATGCACTGAGTGGCAATGTCCTGAAGGCACAGACTTGAATCTTGGAGACTAGTAGGGAGGTCTGTGCTGGAGCTCAAAGCAGAGTACATGCAAGTCACTCTGCTTACCGCAAAGAAGATTTGAGCAAACAGTGGCTTTCAGATCTATTTCCTGAACTGGATCATGTCTTTTCCTTGGAGTTTTCTTTTGTAAGTGAGCCTTTCTAGGAGAGACAGAAAGTAGGGTGACAGAACCAGCCTCCACGCTAGCAGTTGCTCCTGGAAGATGAACTGTAAACCATTTGAATTTAGGCTATTCTTGTTGGCGTGTAGTAGCAGAATTGTTTCCCACACTTCTTTTGTGTTTCCCTCCAAAAGACATACACACATTCATTTTACTGTGAGAGTGTCCCAAAATATAGTTGGGTCTATGTGTCTGTGTGTATTAGAAGTAAAATAAGGTAGGAAAGTGAGGTGAAGAATTTTTAGCCATATGATTTGGGGGATTCTTTTAACTTTTATTGTTCTGAGCTAGGAATAAGGCTGGGCAAAGTGCTTTTAGACAGAGCCTCCCCAACTTTCTTGTGATTCCAGGAGCATATATGAGAGTGCCACATAATAGGTCTTCAGTGGCAGGGGAGATTGCTTAGCTGATTTGTCCACGTAGGACAGATTTATAATCTGGAGGCCAGTCTTGTCCTTGAGGAATTACTGAAATCATGTTAAAGAAGTTTCTTTCCCTTTCAAGGTATGGTTTAAGAATCGAAGAGCCAAGTGCCGCCAACAGCAGCAGCAACAGCAGAATGGAGGTCAAAACAAAGTGAGACCTGCCAAAAAGAAGACATCTCCAGCTCGGGAAGTGAGTTCAGAGAGTGGAACAAGTGGCCAATTCACTCCCCCCTCTAGCACCTCAGTCCCGACCATTGCCAGCAGCAGTGCTCCTGTGTCTATCTGGAGCCCAGCTTCCATCTCCCCACTGTCAGATCCCTTGTCCACCTCCTCTTCCTGCATGCAGAGGTCCTATCCCATGACCTATACTCAGGCTTCAGGTTATAGTCAAGGATATGCTGGCTCAACTTCCTACTTTGGGGGCATGGACTGTGGATCTTATTTGACCCCTATGCATCACCAGCTTCCTGGACCAGGGGCCACACTCAGTCCCATGGGTACCAATGCAGTCACCAGCCATCTCAATCAATCCCCAGCTTCTCTTTCCACCCAGGGATATGGAGCTTCAAGCTTGGGTTTTAACTCAACCACTGATTGCTTGGATTATAAGGACCAAACGGCCTCCTGGAAGCTTAACTTCAATGCTGACTGCTTGGATTATAAAGATCAGACATCCTCATGGAAATTCCAGGTTTTGTGAAGACCTGTAGAACCTCTTTTTGTGGGTGATTTTTAAATATACTGGGCTGGACATTCCAGTTTTAGCCAGGCATTGGTTAAAAGAGTTAGGTGGGATGATGCTCAGACTCATCTGATCAAAGTTCCAGGAGGCATAGAAGAAAAAATGAAGGGCCTTAGAGGGGCCTACCAACCAGCAACCCAATATGGACAAATCAATCTACTTATGATCCTGTCATAGTTTTAGGTCATTGGTTTTCCTAATTTGCAAAGTGATGAAAAATATTCTAGCCATGTGCAACCAAACACCACCAAAAATAAACAAAATCAAACAAAACTAAGTCAAGAGGGAAGGGAGGGAAGGTCATAGCCTTCTTAAGCAGAGGTGTTCCAATGTTTTAGCCAATCCTTGGTTGAATCTTAGGAATGAACAGTGTCTCAAGCTCATTCACGTTTCATGACCAACTGGTAGTTGGCACTGAAAAACTTTTCAGGGCTGTGTGAATTGTGTGACTGATTGTCCTAGATGCACTACTTTATTTAAAAAATAATGTTCATAAGGAGTCAATATGTAGTTTAAGAGACAATCAGTGTGTGTCTTATAAATGGTACATCTGTGGTTTTTAATCTGTGCTAGACTTCAAAACTGTGATCTCCTGTTATTGTATGCAACCTTGAACTCCACCTCTGCAGGGGTTCTTCTGTGATTAAATAGGTTATAATTATAAACAAAATTCAGAGCAACTGAGTACTGATCTAAAAAGATTGCCTTTGGCTGGAGGTGAGCTGCACTGAAACTTTATGACAAAATGTGTCTGGACAAGGAGAGTAAGAGAAGAGAAACAAAAGGACACTGATTCATCTGTAATTTACTGTTGGTAAGCCTAGCAGTAAAGAGACATTGGTCAATTGCTCTGACCCTGATGAATTTTTAAACTGAGATCATTATTGTTTATGCTTGCAGATGTTAACTGGAAAAGTTATATATGCATAAAACTTTCCTTCCTGGATTTGGCAGATATGTATAATTATATTAAAATGGTTCTAGCACAACATTGGGTCCAGTTTAATTTTACACCACTATTTATGAATGAGAAGCCTACATTAAGCCTCTCCTTCCCAAAACATATTTTTCTTAGGGCAGAGGTGAAATTAGCAAACTTAATTTATTTTCACTTTTTTTGGCTAATCTATGGATGAACTAAATATGAATAACAGTTATATGAAAACTTTTTGTGACTTTCATCAGGATTGCTCTGAAATTGAATTTAGAAAGCCTAACAATCATTAAGATCTTGTTCTCCTAGCTTTCACCTAGCTGCCGCAAACCTAAATGATTTCTTAGGCACTTTATGTTTTAAAATAGATCAATTTTTTTTAAGAGGGAGGGGAAGAACTGGAGTGTCTGGGAAAATGAAAAAGACAAGAATTTCATGTTTCTATTCTCTTATTTGTCTAAGGGCATTTTTTTTTAACTTCCAAAAAATCTGAGGTAAACATGAGAGGCCATGTAATAAGAATCTGAAAGCAATTCAGGCAGAAATGATTTCTGAACAAAAGAGTTTCAGAAAAGTTTTAAAACCTATAATTTTAGTAGTTGAACATAAGGCACCCTGGTCAATTTTTTTGTTTTTGTTTTTGTTTTTTAAGAAAGTGCTGGGGGTGGGGGGGAAGACCCCTTTCAGTTGTACCTGCATTTTGTAAACCAGTCATCAGGAAAGACAAATGTGCCAATGATCATGGTGCTTTTCAAGTTAAGCACTATTTAGTTTCATTTTAAATTTCTTATACTCTTAAATTTGACCAGAATTAAGTGATTCTTGATTGTAACTTTTTAAATGAAGGTTAACAGTTGCAACCATTTTGTTTTCTGGCGATTAGATTTTTTTTTGGGGGGGGGGGTCCCTGGCTGCGCATGCTCTCTTGAACCCACGTAATCTAATAAATGAATAGTTTTTATTTATAAAAATAAATAAATAGCCTAATAAATATATAGTTTTACTGCTAAAGTAAATGCAGTAGGTTACAACCAACACTTCAGGCACAATCTGATGGCAAGATTTTCCAGTAACTGCTGATAATATTCATCCTACTGTAGTTTACACCAAAGTAAAATGGGTGCCCAAGAGAGTCTTTGCTTTATGATTTTCCCAGCTTCAGAGTCTTCATCTCCCAGCTTCTCTCATGCAACCGTAAGTAGATTCAAAATATCCAATTTGTTACAATGCCTTCACTTCTCAGGATGCCCCCACAAAGTGTCGGGAAAGATTACCCTTTCTTTAAAAACAATAATGAGAACAAAACATCAGACTACTTAGCAAACAAGCAGTTAGCAATTTCTCTCCTGAAACTTAAAAAAAGGAGAAAGTCAGAAAGAAGAGGCATTGAGCACCCTCTGAAACTAATTTTTCTATCACCTTTACAACTTCGTTTAACTGAGACCACGCAGTTAAATCCCTTGGAATTGATGGCAAAACAGAAATGAATTCTCCCAGACCGAAGGCAACGGAGGGAGGGAAAGGGTCCGGGCGCCAAGCACTGGCTTAAAGACGATCACCACCCCTGGTCAAGACCAGATCTAATGAAGTTGATAAGCCCAGTAATGGTGATACCTGGTACTGAAATGACGCCGTCCTCCAGGGGGGTCAACCGCATATTGGCAATTCCCAAGAAGTGAGACGGCAACATAATCTTCGTTTGGGAGGGCAGAGATGAGGGTGGGGGTGCTTTGCCTTACAATGATCTGTTGCCCCAAACCTTTATCTTTCCCACAAAGATTCTCGGCCCTTTGTATTTCACCTTGGGAGTTGTTTCTTCCCTTCATAGATAAGAAGGAAAAATCAAATCAATGAAGTTCCGGCTTTCGAAACCTCCAGGTTTTAGATAGTGGTCAGTTTCCTCAACTTCTGTTCCACACCGCCCCTCTAATCCCACCTTTCCTGTGGGTGTCCCCACCTCGGCTCCGCAAGGCCGCCGCCAAAGGCGGGAGGCGCCGGGGAGGCCGGGGCGGGCCTGCGGGGCAGAGCGTGGTGCGGGGATGCGGGCCGAGGCGGCGCCCGGAGAGTGGCCGTGCCCTCCGCCGAGTCCCCGCGCTCTTTCTCACGGGCCGTGTATTCTAAGGTCGGACGCCCGTTCGGAGTCAGGTGGGGAAAGCACTCACATCTCTGCCCGGGAGAGCCCGAGCTGGGCCGAGGCCGGAGTCTGCTGCCCAGGCTTTGCCGCCCTCGGGCCCGGCTCGCAGCCCTGCAGGCCAGGCTCTCGTCTGCCGGGTTCCCCTCCTTCTGTCTGGTCTGACTCCGGTCCGGGTCGGAACCCAGCACCTCTCCAGGGCCGCGGCCCGCCGCACTCGGCCTGGTCGGCAGGCCCCGGCGCCGCCGGCGGGGAGGGGACGGGAGGGCGGCTTCCACCCCACGCACCCACCCCGCAGCCCTGCGGTCAGGCCTCCGGGTCAGCCACGGGCTGGGGCGCCCATGGCTAGGGAACCTCAAGGCCTGGCGTAGCTCAGGGGTCAGGCCGGCGCCGGAGGCTGGGGGGTGGCCCGGCCGGGACGCGAGCTCCTTGCGCCCGAAGAACTTAAAGCTGAGATCGGAGGAGAGGGCGGCCCGCGGCCGCTCGCTTTCCACGTCTCCGGAGAGGACGCGCCGCAGACGGCTGAGGAGGGAACCGTTCCTCCCGGCTGCGAAGGGCGAGGCCGCCTCCGCCGCCGCGGGGCTCCCGCCACGGCCGCGGCCTCCTGCGTGCGGAGCAGACGGGGCCCAGCTGGGCCTGCCTTGGGCCCCCGGGGATCCTCCCACGAAAGCCAGTTGCTGGCGGGTCTGGAAGAGTTCGGCTCTCCGCTGGGGGCCCCGGCACCGAGCCGAAGCTTTTGGGGAGAAGCCTGAGGGATTCTCAGTTACTTTTGGCTCATCCCTTTTCTCCCACCCTCCTACATCTCATTTTTAACCGAGTGCCCTCTCTTTTTATCTTCGGGCCGGGCGCAGCACCCAACGGCCCTGAAGGCCATAGGCCGGTTCTGGACTGGGAATGTCCCTTCGGCGTCCGGGGCAGCGCCAACTCGCCAGGCAGCTCATTCCGGTTAACTGCAGGGCAGGGGCTGCAGTCAAGTGCCCGCCCCCACTTAACCAGAAGCGGGCGTAGCTGCTGCCCGCCCTGGCGCGCACACCACACGTTCGAACCAGCATCTCACACCCACTGAGAACCTCGCTGTTGTTTCCCCTACAAAACTGTAACCCAAAACCAGGCGTGCCAGTGTCAGGTAGTGGTTTATTGGGTACAGAGACATGTTTTTAATCATTCAAAAGAGGAACACAAAGGAGTTGGGCATCCCACGCATATGGAAGCAGACGTGGTAGAAAACAACCAGAACAGGAAGATGTTGGATTGGATTCAGTCATGACCTCCTCCTGGGTTCTTGCCTTCCTTCGAAACCTTTAGGAAGCACAGCTATCTCTCTCCTTTTCGTGCCAATAATGAATCCAAGGCCCCATTACGCATCTGCATGCCCAGATCTGTAACCAGTGTCCTGAGCACCTCTGTTTTTCTCTCCTAAACTGTCCGCGCCCTGTCAGCACAGGGTGCTCTGACAAAACGGGATTCTCCTAGTCGCCCCATTTGATCCTTGGGTTAGTATGATACAAAAGATGGGGAGCCCTTGAGACTTCCCCTGAGTTGGGGAGAGGAAAACGCCAAACAAAACCACCCCAGTGTTTTTCGGTATTAGGCTCTGAAACTGCGTAGATTATAGGATTTGCCTCGGACAGAATTAACATTACATGTGAAACCGTAGTGCTCCGGTGTATTGAGACACGTTGTATAGGATTGCTTGGAGCATCTCTTCCAAACTGCCTGTTAATAGCAATATGACACCTTAATTTTTTTTTTTTTTTACTTGATTAAAACGAAATGTAAGTGCTATTTGGAAAGGGTAGTTTTTCTGACGGAAGCAGTTCGAAGGAAACGGAACCAAATTGGGAACTGGAAGAAGCTTCTGTATGCAGCAGTGGGTTTGAATCAGACGAGGGTTTGAAAGTCCCTCTACTATGCAGTAGTCTTCACAACCAAGGGAGGCCCCCCAATACTAAAGAGAATCTGCTAGACTTCCTTTCTTGCAAGCAGTGTGTTTTATGTTTTAAACTCAACGTGCTGCTGACTGCAAACAAACAATAAGCAAATTCAAATAAAAGAGCCCTACCAAGTCCACCCCATTTGGTCAAAGACAACTGCAGGTGCCAGGGCTGCCAAGCTATATCACTAGGGGGAAGGTCACTTCAAATTTTGTTTTTCTCCTAGAGGGAAAGTCAAACAGTGTGAGGTCTATGACTCACTTTTATTCCTTAATCTCCCCACCCTTTACCTTTAATTCTTAGTGTAAACATGGTATTTGGGAAAAAAACAAAGAAAACAAAAAAGAACCCCACAGCAAATATAATGGTAACTAGGCAAAATTCGAATCGAAGTCTATTTCAGCACCACACACACACACACACACAAAAGTGTCTATGTCCCGCCTTAATTTGCCTTCTGCAGGTTGGGAACGGGGCCTTCCGATTAAGAATTTTTTAGTGTACTTGACATCACTGGAAGATATTTCCAGACGAAGCCTGTAAAAATAAGATGCCAGGTTCTAGCAGCCATACAATTGCCGATTTTTTTTTTTTTTTTTTTTTTAACCCCCATTGAACTACCCATAGAGGGATCAGCAAATGAGCCTTTGGGAACCACAGGAGCAGCAGCGACTGCTCTCTGGGTGACTGCTCAGCCTCCATCCGGAGTTTCCAAGGTAAAGGCCTCAAAGCACCTGTTAGAGACAGGTCCTTGGTGGGGTGAAGTCTCTCCCTTTGGCATTACCCCCAGTCTCCCAAGTGGAATCTCCAGAGGCCTTGGGCTACACGGCAACCAGAAAATTACTCATCAAAGCCTTGAGTTGTTAAAATCTGTTCCTAGAACCAATAGTCACACTTTAGGATCATGGACCATTAATAAAAATCTCCTTAACATTCAAATGGCTCTAAAGTGTGTTTATAGCCGATTACTAGGGCCTAATGGATGTCGTG